GGGACAAACTTGGACTTTTATAAAAAGAAGAAGAAAAAAAAAGCTCACCAGAATTGCATCTTGAATTTCTGATATGAAAGTAGGGATCTTTTCAATAACTTGAGAAGCTTGTGAAAGGTAAGTGAATGCACCAGCAAGATCATTTTGTCCTATGTCTATCATGTATATTGCCTTCTTCAAATCTAATTTATCAACCAACTCTTCCGAACCTTGTCAAATTACGAGTCCAAAGTTAGGACGTTAATATCAGTCAAAAGTAACATATTGTTCAGATGATCACTCAATTAATAATTGAATTGTTAATTATTTCAAGGAATCACATACTTCCTCTATTCAACAATAGTTTTTCACTATTGACTTGTCATATCCCTTCAGAAACACTAAATAATAGGGGTAATATTACTATTTTATCCTTTGACTTTATTAAATTAAATGCTTTGAAAAATATGTTAGATGATAAATATTACTACCTCTGTCCACTTTTAATGGTCATAATTTCCTTTTTTAGAGTCAAACGATAATAACTTTGACCAACATTTTGCAATGTATTTTTTCATCATATTGATATTGATATTGATATGGAAAAAATTGAAATTTATAGTACTTTAATTTTCGTATAGTTTTTGAATATCTAAATTTTTTGTTTGAAATATCGAATTAATGTAATCTAATTTAACTTTGAAAATTAATTAAATTGGCTTTCGAAAAGCGCAGCATGACAACTAAAAGTGCACAAGGGTAAAATAGACACAAAAGGTAATTGTCTTGATTTTCTAAACTGGACAGTATTATTGGACAATTATTTTTAGTATAATGAACAACTATTATTGGACGGAAGGAGTATCTTTTTCATATAATTATTAACTAAGTGAAAATATGAGAAATCAACTCGATACTATAATATTATACTATAGTAGTAAATATTACCTTTGGATTGTAACTGAAGAAACCTTACAAATTGAAGAACTTGCGTACTCAGACTAAATAAAACATTTTTGGGGAGTATAGTTGCACCTCCAATTGCAAAATTTACCCCGTTCTTAAAATTCGGCCTTACAGATTCCAGATATGGAGTCAAATAGCTCATATTCAAATTTTCACCTGTAATCGAGGAGTCAGAAACTTTACTAAGAAAATTTAAAAGAATATAAAATTTAAATATGAACCTATTTATATTCCGCGTTTTTAAATGCATGCAAAAGAATTTGATTGTAATTCATGATTGAGATATCTCCCGTGACAAAATTTCACAGTCTAAATTTGAATATATTAAATGCTACATACGTAACTTATAGATATTTGACAAATAAAATATTAAGCACACCGAAATAAAAGAAAAAAAAAAAAAACTTCACGGGCTCAATATAAGCCATTTTGAAATAAAAAATTTATAATATTAAAAATTGAAAATATCTAATTTAGAAAAAGAAATTTCTGCAATATTTCTTGAGTGAGTTGATAAAAAAAAAATTCTAAAAAAACTTGTGGGTGATTGATTGTTTACCTACCGGCTACCATATAGTTTCACGGGTTAAAAGAGTGCTTGAAAAGTGGAAACTGTACAAAATAAATCAAGATTGCAAATGGAGATCAGTAATGGTTTACTAGTTGAACATGAAAGAGACATTTTTACTTTGGAATCAAGTGATTTTGATGCATATATAGATGTTGGAAATGAATGAAGGTTTTGGTGAAAAAACGATGTCTTTCGTTTCCGTTTACATTTTTTAGTTTTTAAAAAACGATGATTTTACGTTCCTTCTTACGTAATATTTGCATAAGTCCGGAAGAATATCTATGTTATATACGCACAAAAAATGTTTTTTGTACCCTGTTAGCACATTGTATATTAAAATTTTTCAGCAAAGTGATTCAATTAAAAAGACTTTATAGTCGCAAAAACATTACTTATGCTATATCCAAAATAACAAGTTTCAAAAGTCTAATATCCATACAAATATTCTACCATATTTAAAACTATTATTTGCTTCAAGCCAATATATAAAAATTGAGAAGATTGACTTTCTAAAAAAAGTATTCTCTGACGAATTAAATTACGCCACAAAAATTGAAACGTAAGAAAGAGTAAGAAGAAGGGCTTACAAAGGAAGTCAAGAATCAATCGTCCATCACACAATCTATCAGATGGCTGATGAAAAAAGGCACGACCATCTGGATATCCAAATCGAATTCCATGAGCAGCTGGATAACCACCTGTGTCTGAATTTGAATCTCCAAAATTGAAAATTACCATATTTTTACTACACTCACAAACAACAACGTTAGCTAATTGACACATCCAAAAACAAACAAGTAATATAAACGTATAACTTGTTCTACTTCTCATTTTCATATTCATATATATAAATATTTGTTGTTGTAATGTTTTTAACAAGAGTGTATTACACAATTTATGATAAGCCTATAGCCTATATTATATATTTATATAACACAAATGAAGTTAAACTACTTGGCACACATTCTTTTTTCCCGTGAAGTGGAGCAATAGGTGGAGTAAGAGTGCACTTCTTACCTATAGGTACGGACCAAGTTCAGTATTTTCGACGTTGAATATATATAGAAATATATTTAAGCAAAAATCATTAAAATTTTAATAAATAAAAGTTTACTAACCTATAAGTAGGAAGGTGTAATTATACGGTTAAATAGTAAAAGCACTCTTAACCAGAGATTTCGAGTTCAAGTCTTGAATATGAGAAAAATTTTGATTGGAGAGTCACCTCAGCATAGGCCATGCAGTATGGTTCAGACACTAGGTGAGAAACTAAAAAAAAAAATATTAAAAATTGTACGTATTAAATTTAAATTCTGAATTTGTTACTTTATAAGTGTATTCATATAATTAGGTAAGAAAAGGATTTAGGATTTAAGTTTTTTTTTTTTTTTTTACAAGTGAATGTTAATGGCAGTAATGATTTTAAATTGACATTGTCCACTTGCGTTCACGAGATTACATAGAGAACTGTCACCTGCCAATTCGTGGAGAAGAGGACAGTTCCACTAAATTCTTTGAGTGTGGTTGCCACTTGCCAATAGTATTATTTGTTTATCGGAAAAATAGTACAGTTAAGTTTATTAAAGGTTAAAAATATGCGTTATTGATTTAGCTCGTTAAATAGATTAATTATCAATTTTAATAGTGTAAAATAAGACATGAAGTACTAGGCAAAAAGTAACAATATTGTTGAAGAATAAACTCAAATACATAGTTTGTAGAATTATTGAATTTTATTTCACTAGTCAAACTGTGTAATCACCTACAAAAATGCACTACACTATATAAAGTCACAAAATCATATCATATTCCAGAATATCATTCTCAGCTTTTTGTAGTAAAATCTTCTTCTAGAATTCTTTTGCTTGAACAACTTTCAATGAGAGAGGAGGAAAGTTTTTCTTCTAATTTTGGATGGAGAGAAAAGTATCGTTCTTTTCATTTTCTAGTTTCGAACGATTGTTTTCGCATTTTTTATTTTGTAAATAAATAAATATATAATAAATACATATTACTCATGGGTCTGGATCGACTCATATAAGTGACCTGACTTAATTTCCTTCATCTCTCACTCACATATAGTGAGTCAACTCTCATTCATATTCTCCAACATTTCATACTTATGACTAGATTGTGTGGCCAATGCATACTTCAAGAATTTCACTGATATACATCTATTATATCTCGATTCATAAAATTTAGAATAAATTATAGCATACAGTATCCTAGATCATTTATCACATTCATATTTCTCATAATCTCTTTATCTTAATTTTGAATTGTTATCATCATAAGAGACCGATTAGTGAACACAATTATGCGATAATACTTAATGAACTTTCTCATCTCATGATTCTCTTAATCTCAACATGATAACATTTCTAGAGATGTCCTGTCAGACCGAATCAAGCATAATCTCTTAGCAACATATTCAGATAGCATACACTAAATTGAATTTCAATAAATCAATTAAAGTCACGAGGGTACAATGTGAAAAATTACTTAAGATTTTCAAGGCTTCACTCGACAATAAGTAGCTGAGACTAAACTTGTATCACCCTTATGAGTCACTATATACATACATGATATGAAATTAAACATGTATATCGATTCCTTTCCCATATAGTGTTTGCCTTTTATAAATAAAATATTGTGCAGATGATATTTCAAACAACTTATGTCTAAACTAGAGACTTCCTCTTCTTGTTGTATGTTGAGAAATAAAGTTTTTACACCATTTAATGCAATTCAAGATCCAAGATAGCTATTATTGATAAATTTAGCCTTATTAAAGCAAAACAATGAACAAGTGAAAACGTTTCTTCATAATCAATTTCTTCCTATTGTGTGTAACCGTTTATTTACTAGACGAACTTTGAATCTTTCAATGTTACCATTGCCTTACGCTTGATTTAAGAAATCCACTTGTTTTAATAGTTTTACAACCTATAGATATATCAATCGATTTTGAAACTTGATTTGATCATTTAATTCATTGACTCAATCTCATCCTCCATTGCTTTTAATCATTTTTCTTTAGCAGGACATTGTGAGAGTGTTTATTATATTTTTTTGGCTCTAAGTCATCTTGGGGAGTAACTAAAAATGTTTTCCTTTGATTTGAAATCGACCATGGATAATTTGGGGACGACTTGTTCGTCGAGATTGATAAATTGATTATGCATTAGTAATTAAGTTACTCCCACTCAGACCAACAATATAAAAAAAGATTCAATTCATATGGTGTATTTGTGAAAATATGAACTGATCCATTATCATCAAAGTGACTCCCACTTAAATTCATTTGAACATCTATAGTGAAAACAGTCTGATCCGTAGTCTCTAAAAGATAAATTCAAGAGTGTTTCACATTGATCTTAAGTTATCTCCTTGTATTGTTTTGGTGATTGTTATGTCATTAGCTGACTTTTGACGTTCAAGTTAGACCACGGTCCGTACCCAAATTTGAATGGTGAAGGTAAGCTGCAATGAAGAACTCTAGTACACCAAATATAGTTTATATTACCTTGTTAATCAACTCACACATTTCAATTTTCAATTCAAATACAACGAAATTGGAAATAACCAAACGAATCATCCCCAAACTTCATTTGAACCTTGCAAAACTATTAACAACTTCCTCTCCCTCTCAACCATTTATCCGTACATTCACCCTATTAATTAACTAACCTTATGTAGTGCAATGTGGTGTAGTAGTACAAAATTTAGGCAGCGGAGGGAGCAGTCACGTATTTGACCGCACCAGCCTGGGACATAGCAGCAGCAATCAGTGGTTGAAGCTGGTTCACTGCTCCTGCAGCACCTATCACATTCACCTGGTTCATGCCAACTGATCTCTTGTAGTCCAGAGACTCGTCGTTGTAAATGTCCCACCACTTCTTCACCAGTAATTTTATATCCTCCCTTTCCATGTTCTCTTCTTTCCCTGTGTACCTCCACGGCTTTGATCCCTGCTCCATCATCGTTACAAGAACAAATCAACATGACTCAGAAAAAAAAGAAAAACTTTTAAAATTTGTGATCTAAAACATGCGAATAGTCAAGTTAGTTACTCACCGCTGCACAATAGTGTACAACTTTCACTTTATCAAGCTCAACATTCTCGGGATGACGCCATAACATTGCTAGAACAAGATTGTACACTAGTGGTATGGGTCTGTAGATGTTCTTGAAATACATATTCAGGAAATCCTGTCATATGATCACAACATCAATCAAGGACAAGGGTATATGTACTGGTTCGACAGAACCAAATAACTTTAATTATATGTAAATGTTGAAATATCTGCTAAAAATTTGGGAACCTTATAAATTTCAAAATTTTCAAGAAAAGTACCTGCTCTGCAAAAGGAGTAGGAGGGGTGATTTGAAGTTTCTTCAAGAGGTCTTGGTAAGTACGGAGGCTGGGCTCAAACACGAACATTCCAGCGTTGAAATATAGGGATGGTGGCTGACCCAATTCGTCACTAGGCCACTTAATTCTGTCCGGACACTGCTGACAGTAGCCGATTTTGTATTGAGGTGTGTGACTCCATGTTTTCTCACAGAAACAGTCCATTACAGCATAGAAGTAACCATCCGCCAAATCAAACAAATGATCTATGTTGTCATACACCTGAATGTCACCATCTAGGTATATCATCTTCTTGTATTCCACAAACTGCATACATGTAATGACAAATATATGTCAATAATAATCCAACTGTAACAAAGTTAATACAACGATATCAAATTAATTGATGATAGTAACTAGGTTACATTCCCGGACCTATTCCCCATATATTCAAGTATTTATACATATTTAGTAAATTACTAGATCCCAAGTTTGCCATATGGGAAACCCACCTCCCAATCACTCGATACATCTTTAAGATGCTATAACAAGTTAGGTTACTTTGTATGTCAGGTAACAAGCCTCAGTCGTTAGAGTTGATAGTTAAGGAAAATAAAACTAAACCCAAAAATGCCCTCGTACTAATAAGTAATTACTCTCCTTAGAGTCAAATTTATGTGTCATTAAAAAAAATTATAAGGAAAAATGTCTGAAAAATACTCAAACTTTGGCCGAAATTGTTGTTACGATAGCAAACTTTATGGAAGACCTTTTATTCCCTTGCACTATTTAATAGTGTATTTTAAAGGTATATATGTGTCAACATGGACACGTTATTATTTATAATGATGTAATATTTATGATGTTCACATAGACAAATATATACCTTTAAAATACACTATCAAATAGTGCAGGGGTAAAAGGTCATTTCCAAAATTCGATATTATTATAACAATTTCGATCATAGTTCGAATATATTTTTGACTTTTTTTCCAAAATTATATGACACTTATCTCGTCTACAATTATCATTTGTAGTATTTCCTCTGTTCCAACTTAAGTGACACTTTTCGAATTTTGAGATTCAAATAAATCTATTTTTTATCATAATTTTTTTATATATCTTTTAAATATTTTGAATTTTCTATTATTGTAACTTATAGTATTTTTTTTTAAATAATTTATAAATATATTAATTTCATTTCAAAACATTTAAAGATTTCGTGCGCAAATTTTCGATGAAACTTAAATTATTAAGACTCTCAAACAAAAAAGAGTGTCAAATAATGAAAAGTAACAATTATCATCCCACGTGTAATGAATAAACTGATGTAGCAACACTAGAAACATGACGCGTGGCAGGTCCATCCACGTGTAATTGCAAATGTGGTGTTGCCGAAATTTTAAAACATGACACGTGTCAAACGATGGACCCCGCTTACCTCCCACATACGAAGCTTAGAGTAGTTGATGACGTAATAAGCCATAGCAAATTGAGTTTGGTTTTCAGGTGGGTAAACTGGCTCAATCTCCCTCACGACACAGCCTTGCTCCTCCAGCATACGGCGGTGCTCTGCCGGAACATCCGGCAGCACCGCCACCACCAGCGGATACTCCGATTTGACCTTCCTCAAACCTTTTGCTAATCCAATCACACCTTTCACATAATCACCATTTCCCGCCAAAAACGTCACGTAGGCCCGGTCCAATGTAGCAGGACCCGGCCCGTTGGTTACTGGTTTCGCCATTTTCTCGGTTACTCTAGCAATTGCCGGAGCCATGGAAATCTGCAGGATCGGAGAATTAAGATGATGCTAATGAAAATGTTGATTTTTGTGTTCGTGATTTGAATTGATGAAAATGGGTATGGGAGAAGTGGTGTAATATATGGAGGTGAATTACAAGTAACGTTTGTTGTGGGGTTTGAATTCTCGTGATTATTGGAGTGTGGCCGACACGTGTGTGAGTGATCATTTGATCGGACGGTTGAGATTGAAGCTACGGGACTATTCTGGAACTGGGGCCATGTTGTAAGTAATTACTCCGTATCAATTTGTTAGTCTGATTACAATAACATATCCAGTGAAATAAGAATTGATGTGAGGGGTAGAGAAGTTTGAGAAGGATAATGTATATACAAACTTTATCATTACGACCTCAACTCAAGTGCATCAATTCAAGATTCCATAGCCGTCAATAAAAAAATAGTGTAAAGTCAATTTGTTTATTTAAATGACATGAAGTTTTAAAAAATAAATTAGATTAAAGATATATAAAACATATCAAATACCGTAGTTTATGATAATAAGCTATCATTAAAAATTGCTAAAAATATGCATATTTTTTAAATATAAAATAAATAAATTGAAACTGAGAAATAATAATACTAGTGATTTGACTGGGGAGTTGTTGGCATGGATGAATCATGAATAGAAGACGCTGGAAGAAACTAGTCTTTCCTGCCCTCAAGTTAAGGGGAGGCTTAAGTTCATGGTGCTCTAGATAAAAAAAAATAACAATTTCAATATAAAATGTCAAAATTATATTTTTATTTTGTTAGTAAAATAAGGAATAATAATATTATGGTGTATATTTAAATGATGAGATTATCAGATAAAACATAAGTATTACGGGCATTAGATACGAGTATTAAATTATATTTGGTATGGACTCGAATATAGAGATTAGAGATTAACGATAGTATATGTCATAAGACTTGTTTTCAATTCATATATATATGAAAAAATCATTCTCAAAATTTAACATAAAAATACATTGACCTTTCAAACAATAATAATGTCACATAAAATAGAATGTACTCAAATATACTTATTGAATATAATGCTGTAATAAAAGATTATTTAATTAATTATATGAAGCTCAAAGGATCACGGAATTTATTATTTGTTGATAAACTCATTAAATTAGTTGAGTGCAGTGGTGTAGCCAGGAATTTAATGAAGGGTGTCCAAATTTTTAATAGTAAATTTTTTTTTAAAAAATGACGATTTAAATTACCAAAATAAATAATCAAGTTAAGCAATATTTAATTAAATATAGGAATATTTTTAATAGAATTACAAGTGTATAATTCAAAACTAACATAAAGAAAATAAACTACTATTGAAAACATAATTTAAATATATTATTATAATTGTACTCAACGGGGTTTCATATCCTGAAACGTTTTTATAATAGACTCATTAGAAATAGTACAAAATACTTTCTTTTCTACATAAGACACTATACAACCGTCTAAAAACTCATCATCCATTCGATTTCACAAGTCATTTTTAGAGTATTTAAATCAATGCTTTGTTTTTGAGAAGAATGTGACAACATCTCTAATTGATCTACCGTTGTTTCTTTATTTGGTTGACTTAGAGAAGTCGAACTTTTTTTTTGGTACTCTATTATAATAATTCCTCATGTCAATTGAAACTTGAAACTAAAATATTAAGTTGGTTATTTTTGTTATAAAATAAGAGAACGAGAAGAAAAAATAGAGAGAATTATTGAGATTCTATTCTTAATAATATTGTGATATATTAAAATTTAAGGAAATAATTCAATTTTAATTGAAAAAAAAATAGTTAGTAGAGGAGGGATTCGAACTTGGATCTTGGAGATCTTCATGATACTATTAACCACCAAGCTACTGAACTTTTATGTAAAAATTCCGCATGTTTATTGTACTTAATTGAATTCAAGAAGTCAAAATAATTACAGAAAAAGAAAACAACTCTGCGGGAAATCAAACCGAGACAAAGAGTAGGATTGCACAGGCTATTACCAACTCCACTGCGCATCACTTTATTATTTCAGGGGGTCCAAATTCTATGTATACCAATATAAAGTCAAAATTTTACGTGTATCTATAGTATAATTAATTGGACACCCTGGAGCCTATGTGGCTCCGCCCCTGGTTGAGTGTATAAGTGGTAATCTTTTTCTATGAGTTTTGAGTAATTTTTACTTCATGATAATATGCTCTTTTTGATTGATTTAGGTATAAGGTTTAGGACTAGAGCCGAACCTATATTCCGAATTCCGATCCTTGTTGAAGTATGAATACAGTAATTGTAGAGAATAGCAGAAAAAAAGTATAATCGGAAAATTTTTTACTAGTCCAAGATCGTTAATTAAGATCGAAAGATTCAACTTTCGAAAGATTCAACTAATGAAGATGAAGATAAAAAGGAGAACTTGTTTATGGAAGAAGACTCTTCTATTGTCTTTAGTTTTGGTTATTCTTGGGTTGTCTACAGATGACTAAGGTCATCATATTTATACTTGTGTAGGGATGATTCTAGATACTAAGGATCTAGACTATTCTAATCTATTCTATAAATATCTCCCTTAAATATCTAATATTCTAGACTATCTAGATTTTTCTTAAGTACAAATATCAAAGATATTACTCTACAAAATTCTAGAAGGTTCTACTAAATAGCTAAAATATTCTAAATTTTATTTAACATTCTTTTGATGTTCTACTCCCATTACTTTTCACAAGTTGTTTTAAGGTAAAGTCTTTAATACTTCTTTGTCTATGACTGTATTGATCAATTCGATTTAGTTTTGAAGTTCATTAGTTCAATTTATGATTTTCGATTTGTAAATATGCTAAACCATTATAGAATCATTAAGGTATTGACTTATCGATTATTAATTTATTAGTTAATGATCGTTATCAATTTAACCTTTAAGATTTTGACACAATTTTTTTTATTGAAAATAACTTTAAAATAAAATGACAAACCAAATGAACCACACACATGAGATTGAGGAAATAATAAACTTCTCTTCTTTCACTTTATCCAAAAGTTGGAAAATTCTTTTACATTTCTCTGTTTTATATATATACCCTTGCAAGCACCATGATATAAACCTTTACCTAACACAGTTTTAAAGAATGGCATTGGGTCAATTGTCATGCCAATTTTATTGGCTTTATTTGTTCTATAAGTCCTCTGCACCCAATTAATGGGATTTGGTTCCACAATTGAAGGTGACACCAGACTCTAATTTGGTGAAATTTCCAATCAATGTGTGTTTATGACACATTCCATTTCAAAATATGGAAGGCCTATAGTCTTGAATGGGTCATGCAATTTTACAAATACAAAATGCTTGGATGGGACAGGCAATTTTTACCTTTTATATATTAAATGGAGAAACGAACTTAGAATTTAAAGATAGTGAAGACATCACTAGCAGATGCATGTTAGTTAAAGCAATGTCATGTGACATTGATATTACTTCATCGGAAAATATTATTACACACACCTAGAATCGTAGTATGTACATGAATAACTATAAATTAAAGGAGAAAAATTAACACAATTCACTAGGTGGTTTTGATGGTCGTGAACCTCTATCTACACGTTGAGATTACTAGTTCGTATCTTGTCAAAATCACAAGAAGAATGAAGTGACGAATATTCAATGTCAGGTCACCTCGCTTGCCTTAGGAGTTAGGCCTAAGGCGAGCGTTTGGACTAGTGCACCAAATTAGTGCTCTATATAAATGTTGCTAAAGACTCGGCTTTGGATACAATCTTATTAACTCAATTGTCGCTAAATATTTGATCAAAGAGATTTATTTTTCAAATTCAAAAAATTAAGAAAGTAAAAGTGAAATTTACTCTTTAATTTGAATGTGTTTCGTTGCTTCATATCGAATTTGGAAGCATGCACTTGACTATACTCATCTGTTTTTTTTATATTTCCTTTTTCTAATTAATATTGACATACTATCTATCTTCAAATAATATATCAATCTCATGATATGTGTTTAATACCACACAATTAGTTGAGCTGTCCACTCAAACACCTGCAAATAATGTTGGTAGATATAAGCTGTTTTTACAAAGAAAGGAATAAACATGTATTGTTCAAAGAAGTTTGACATTTTAAAATCGGAAACTGCAGGGTTATATTTGTCTAATTAAATAATTCATGTGAGTAAGCTTAGAAGGGGTTCAAGAAGCCTAATTGATTACTTAATTTATTAGGATTTTATAAGTATTTGCTAGTACATAATTTGTATTTGACATGTGAACGTATCAAAAGGTAACACGTGACAGTCAAAGTCTAATCAGGTGCAACTCAGTAGCAATAACACCAGACATAGCCTTGAGTCACACCCGATAAGGTTGTTCATATCCATTGAAGTTCTGAAACAATGTTTGCAGGCATCTAGCTAGCTTCGGAATGATAAGACCAGAAATAAGGTTTTTTAGTAACATATTCGGATAAGCTTCACCAGTAACCGTTTCTGATTCAGGATTCACTCATGTAGTTGTACAAAGCGGATTCATGAAAATTTAGTATAGCAACAGTAAATTCGATCAAAGTTAGGGTATTTTTCAGACCCTTATCCCTACTATAAATATACCTCTTTTTTCCTCACTTATAAAAGCATTTGACTTTCATCACAATAGATACATTATTCTCACAATTGTAACTTAAGCTCTGAATTTCATCACAATGGATACATTACCTTTCAATGATTTAAAGGTAAGTAAATGGTACCCAAAGATTTTAAATGAAATTACGTGCAATATCAACCGGTCAGGCTGTGGGCCTTTGGAATATGAAAACACCACAATAAGCTAAGCAAACTAAGTAAATTATTAATTAGTTGTCCCTTCTGAAACATGCCTTTGATTTGACTAATTCAAACACACTAGGAACATGTGATGGTTAATTTTATGTGGTTCAAGTTGTATATATTAACGATATTTTCTACATGACAAGTGACAATAAACGATCCATGGCCATTCATGTGGGATTTTCTTTTGGACTTTGATCTAGAACAGTCCTAAGATAGAGCTTTAATTAAAAAGGACTTT